CACTGACCAGTCCCATAGCTAAGGTGTGACGAGACCAAGCCTGGATGCCAGAATTGTGCCCACAAAGGGTTCGACTGTCCAGGCTACCAACAGAGGCTTCAGTGGTCCACCAAGCACGAGAGACCGACAACAACAAACACCAGCGGGCCGGCAAACTTCACCCAGCTCGTCACCGCTGCCTCCGTGTCCATCGCCTCCACGCCCACGGCCACCACTCCCGAGAGCTCCGCTCATGATGGAACTAGAACCTCGCTCACGGTCCCGGTCCCTGCCAGGAGACTCGGGCTCCCCGTTGTTCCATCCCTTACCGTATCGACGTCAGGGTCGCTATCGACGTCCGCATCACCCCCGTCCTCATCGTCATCACCATCCTCCTCCACACCGTCTCCCCCAACCCATTACCAGGATTTAGCAGCGAACGTCGAAAGCTATGCCAGCCTGATTCCCGCGCTCTCCCCTCAAACGGGACCCATGGTGCCCAAGGGAGAGCCGGGGTCGCCCGACGACCCGGACCAGGCACGCGACTTGGCCATGTACCAGCCGGTCGTAGACATCCCAACCTTTCTGATCGAGCACTGGTTTAAATCAGTGTGCTCGTCGTGGTCGGCTCTCGATTCTCCGACAAACCCGTACCGGCAGCTGACAGGCAACCTCTGGCGAACTTCCAGCTCCGTCTTTTACGCCCTGCAAGCGATATCCGCAGCCTCCCTCGTTGAGCGGCTCCCGCACGTCATGAAAGATACGGCTCGGTCTGCACCACGCAACGCGTTTCAGGCTATCGGAAAAGAACTGGAGGTCTTTCATAACAACCCCCGGCCGGCATTCCCCACGGAGCTACTACTCTCACTTTTTTGCATGAGCTCGTCCATGTGTTGGTTGGAGGCCCGGCAGCTTGGCCAGCAATCCGTGAGAGAGGCGCGGAGGGTGCTGAAGCGGATGAATTCGCAGGTGCTAGACAGCGGCTCCCAGGAGCAACTTGACTTCTTCAACGGGTGCCTTGTTTACGAAGAGATGCTTCGCAGCGTTGTCAGCGACGACGAGATCGACTTTAAGCATATGCTCAGCTGGCCGGAGCCGACGACTCAGAGACCTCTCCTACCTACCGTCTCACATCCATGGACCGGCGTCCCCTCTGACATACTAAGGTTATTTGGCAAGGCAATAGCCCTGTGTCGAAGGTCCCGCAATCGGTGGAGGCTCAATAACGGAACGAGCTACCGAATCCTCGAAGGCGCAATGAAGGACATCCAGGCAGCAACGAAAGTAGAGGAGTCGCTGCTATCGGTTATTGTCCCGCCGCCCCCCGAGTGCCCTCAACCTCCACAGACTTTCGACTCTGCTCAGACCTTGTATTATTTAAGTGAGGCATACCGCCTGTGCGCTCTCCTGCAGCTCTACGAGACCTTCCCAGACCTGAGCATTAAACGGAATCCGAACCTCGAAGCCGCCAGTGTTTCGGTGATCTGGCAATCCTGGGCAACCCCTCAGGTCTTGCACGTCGTCAACAATGTGCTCGGCAAGGTCCCAGCGGGAAGTCTGAGCTGCATTCAGCCCTTACTCTGTCTCTGTGCCGGCAGTGGTCTTAGATACGAGGACAACAGCAAAATCCCGTTACGTAGCGGGAATCACAAGCACCCACCAAACACAGATTTCAACACAGCAGCCACGCCGGTGTCCGGGGCCGCCGCGCCCGGCTTTCCATTGCCTGGCCCTGGCATATCCGAAAACGCCATCAAAATCTCCCAGGCACGACTTCTCATCATGAACCGGTTGGACCAACTCGAGATATGCCTCCCCCCCAAACCGATAGGCGTGGCAAAACAACTCGTTCGTGCGGTTTGGAGTGCGTACGATGAAGAAATCGGACTCCCTCGCCGGACCCATTGGCTCGACGTGATGAGTTCCACAGGACTACATAGTCTGTTCGGTTGACCAAGATCACAACTGGAGGCTCCGAGGCCACGAATACGGGCCACCCCCTCCCGGCCGCAACCGCGCTTGGAATCTTATGGGTGCGTACCGTCGATAACCAACACTGCTCGAACACGCACCTGCACACCAACACCTGCCGAGCGGATAATGCCCTTGATCGTCGGGCTAAATATCACCTTGCTGGCCCGGACCCCCACACCGCCAAGTGAAGACTCCGTCACTCCGGGCCAGCGGCTGTTGGGGTCGCAACGATTTGTGGCCTGGTTCTCAAAATACCGCGGGATTGACGAGAGTCTCCTACATCACTCATTCGGGAACGCATGACCGATGGGAATTACACTTGCACCAATATTAAGTCGATGAAAACGGGTTATGGGGCAGGATAAGAGGGGGGCCTTTTTTTCACGGGACGAACCCGCGGCGGATGCCTAGGATAACACCTACGCCTCGGGCAGTCTCATGTTTCTGGAAGATGGAGCACACCAAAGGCTCCCCTTTCCGAGGGGAGGACATTGGGCTGGATTGGGTCAAACACTGGACGGTTACGGTTGGTGGGAGGGAATTATTGGTACCTGGAATGGCCATATCTATTCTGTTCCTTATACACGTAGGCTCAGAAGATGTAACGATCTCCAGCAAAAAACATCCGGTGCTTGGCACCAACAACCCATTTTCACTCGGAAGAAGTCCCTAGTCTCACTCGAAAGCACGTGTAATAATGTAACGCGTAGAATCTTGGAGAGTTGACCACCTATGGCTAGACAAGGATTAGACTTGCAACTGCTTGTAACTTCCTGCAGTACTACCAAGGGGTGAATTAAAGTTAACCTGCAGCCGACTGGGTGCATGTACATACAGGCCGTGAAACGCGGCGCAGACAGGGGGGAGCGATGCGATGACGTACGAGCATCTCCCTCCCCGTCGAACGCTCTGCTGCGTGTCTCAGCTTCCAAAGCTTATTTCCCCAGACCTTGGCTGGGTGATATCGTTTATGGCTTGCAGTTCCATGCCATGTGTGCGTTCGTCGGTGATGGTGGTTCAGCTGGCCGTTGGCAAGCCACACGGCCTGGGAGGCCAATCACAGGGCTTCGGCGGCGTATCCGACTGGAAATTGCTGTCGGCGCGGCCGAGACTTTAAAACTGATCCTGGTAGGTTGGCCTGGTGCCAAGATATGCACGAGAGGTCGGTTGTATGTATGTACAAGTACGAGAACGAGTGTGGCATTCCATCGTGGGGAGGGGGATCCCGCGATCCGGGGCTCTGCTCACTGGTCGACGGACATGGAGGAAGGGCTATCGTATCATGGTGGCAATTTTCAATGGGATTCGAATGCAATATTTGACGCACAAGAATCAAGTTTAAACTGTTTACTTCGTCATCACACTCGGGGCCGAGAGGGGGGGGATGGAAAGACGGAGTGGCGGCGGGGGATGAGGGTATCACCCGGAAACCACACCTAAATGGGGTTGAGTACCTAGGTACCTAGTATGCTGTGATGACTTTGCCCACGTTGACTTTCTTTTTGTGATTCCCCGTGTCAGTGGTGCATTTAGCTTTTACTGGTCTGAGGGACCCTGATGACTGTTTGCGCGCGCAGTCATGCGCGTTGGGATGCTGTTGCCGATATTTGTTGTTAGATAACACGCACGGTCAACATCTTAATCTACTAGCTGCTGTGGTAAGCAGACAGCAAGAGCCATGCTTTTGTTTCAACGGACAACGGTTACTTTGCTGGGTTGATGGTGATGAATTCCACGGGGGGACCATGTGCCGTGGTTTGGACTGCTGTTTTTAGCTGGCGTTGTGGTCTCAAATTTCACCAGTTCAAACCATGGACGGCAGGAAGTAGGTAGGTGCTTGGACTTTCCAATTGATATTTAGATCATTTTTAGCAAGTGCTTAAACTTGAAGTGGCGTGACGTCTTAAACGGGCAGCTACGATTACGGGAAGCCTTCTTGACATGTAGTATGGGGCTTCTTGTCACAGCTTTGCCCACAAAAACAAAGCACATCCAAAATATCGTTAAGTTACGACCTATAAGTGACATCGAGTGATATGTAAATGTGCTCAAGGAGAATCTACACTGCTTACCTAGCGCTCTACCTCAAGTAACATGCCTGGAGTTGGCTTCGTCCGCCGCAGACCATGAAAGCTCTGTGGTGGAGCACACCTTCCTCCTTTAAACTGCCCATATCATATGACAACGGATTCACGTTCTGAAATGGAAGGCAGGAACAAGCCCGCGGCATCTGAGAATTTGCAGGCGCGCACGGATCAACTCTGCTGTCTATATAGAGGTCTCGCCCCCCTCTCTTCTTCTCGTCTTCTTCTTCTTCTCTCCTCATACCCGGACCGGAAAGCCTTCGGGCAATTCGCTTCGGGCCAACGAAGTGCTCGGATACCCGGCGGTGGCACCTTTAACCGTCCATCGTCAAGTTGAGACGTCTTCGGAGACTAATTGACTGGGCCTTGAGATGACGGAGTTCTCTGAGCAGGAATTTCCTGATCAGGGTACCATGCCTCGAGCCAACGGGAGGTGTTCATAGTACTCTACTCGCCCCCCCGAGGTTCACGGGCAACATTCCTTTTTTTTTTCGTTGCGATCTCGGGGCTAGCCCTCGGGACGTGAAGAAGAAAACTTGGACTGGCTGCTCGAGCCACAATCTTAGCACCTGATCATCTGCGGTTCCGTGCTCCTAGTGGGGGCCGCATGGCTCTGATATCGTTTTCCACATGCTCAGATACCTGCTTGACACTATCCCATGTTAAGACGTGGAAGGACGAAGCTGTGAATACCAAAGAAGCTTGTTATCCCTCTCCCTGTCACTATTCCCACCTAAAATGCCAATTACACATTATCTTCCCATGGTCGCCACCCGGACCTCTAGCCGGCTATACGGCTTCATCAAACGTGAAAAAATACAGGTATCGTCCAGCAGAGACACCAGGGTCGGTAAATGATAGCCAATCCCGCATGCACGAGATGCGTAGAGTCATACCGACACATACGGACTCATGGAGTACAGAAGATGGCCGATGTAAAAAAAAGAAAAAAAGAAAAAGGAATGGACACCGCTGGAATTGAACCAGCTACTCCCGTGCTCGGATGCTGAGACGCACGAGTATGTACCATTACACCACGTGCCCGATGAATCTTTTTCCTAGTAGGTGGCGGCTTTCATGTATAAGAAGCCTAAGCGCGGGCTTTGATCAACCAGACAGGAGTGACCGTGCCGGCTGCGCGCGGCACGCCAAAGGAGCCTGGAGGAACTTTTTAGTTGCTACTATAGAGTGCTTTTTGGAAGTCTGTGATGTTATGGTTGGCAGTTGGCGGTACGCAGCTATCGCTGCCATTAAAGTTGCTTCTCCCCATCTAGAGTTGCGAGAGTCAACCATGTCATTTTTTTTTTCCATTTTTTTTTTCTTCATTTCATGATGGTTATTTACAAATGCAGGGAAAGTAAGGAAATGTGGTTTCTTCAGCCAGACTAGCGTCTAATCGTATAGTCGCGCCCTCTTTTTTCCCGCTGTAGACCTTTTGCTTCGGATCGGCTCCGGAGAAAGTTTGCTTCTTTCTTTTTCTTGTTGGAGTGGTGTCCTCCGGAGCGAGTTGATCTTCCAACAACTGCTCTAGGTCTGAACCGTCGTCGGTGTGATTGGTATCTTGTTGGTGGTTAGCCCAGTTAGCGAGCTTGAAGGGGGTCATACCTGGGCTTGAAATTGTAAGCACTGGCTCGGCGTCGGTTGTGGTCGAGTTCGGCGGTGCTTCAAGGGTGGCCGGTGGCTCGGTTGCCTCATGAACCAGATGCTTCCGGGGCTGTGCCGGGTTTTTTTCTTTATTTGCCAATGAGCTTTGGCCGCCAATGGGTGAAGAGAATGGGTTCCAGCTTGTGATTCCTCGTGGACCGGTTGAGCGTGGTGTTGTAGGCATTGTGCTAGGTCGTATGGGCGTCGTGTTGTGAGCGGTTAAACTGCTTTGTCGAATAGACTCCCAGTCGTCTGGAAGAATTACTGGGATGCGAACGCTTGTGTCGACGAGTTGAGGGCCTTGGATGAGGTTTCGATCGAGAACTCCCAGGAGGCGACCGCTGCATGCAATCCAGGATCCTCTTGGAAATGGGTTGACAGCTGTTCGCATCCAGCTGGCTAACGATTTCCACGGTTGTTGTTCAACGGGAAAGATGAGGAGGACGTGGCAGACGTGGATACCTTTGTGAGGGGGGCGGTCGTTCTCCGGCTGCAAATACGACGCTAGCTTGACAAACACTGCAGTCTTAGTGAGTGGCTCTGGCCAGGCTGTGTCCATGAGATGGAATGTATCCAGATCGACGGGGCCGGTAAAGAACACACGTGCCGATGTGCCTGGCCAGGGAACCGTTTCATCGGGGTTACCGAGTCGCCGGGGGATAATTCTTGGATGCGTCAGCGTCCATTGCGAATCATAGTTATGGCATAGTAAAAGGGCATACGGTGTTAAACCACCATCACGCGGCATTGCGAGGGTAACCTTCACGGATTGGGGATCGTCTGTCTCCCATCCATTGACTGCTACGCCTTCGAAGGTAAGTTTGTTCGGGAAAAGTCGGGCGACTATGGTGAACCATTTTTTCTCCCAATCCTCTTCCAGCGTTGTTGCTTTCGGTTCTGTGTTAAACATGGAGAGTATCACTGGCAGCCCCGAGCTCTCTTCATCCTCGGTGCTAAGGAGCCGCGGATAGAGGTCGTGGATGAAGGTGGGTTGGATGAATGGGAGGAAGGTCCCGGCTTTGAAGTTTCCCGCGCTTGTGTAGCGGGAGCCGGTTGGCAGGATCTCGCATTGGGCCAAGTCGGAGTGGTAGGTGACGATGAGGTCTCCGCCAGTCGCGCCTTGGTCTCGCTTGTTTGGTAGTGGGGGTATTGGGTAAACGACAGAGGCGGAAGAAGAAGCCATCTTGACTGCAATGGAATTATGAACAGTATCAGGAGATGATAGTTTAGGTCAGAAAATCGGGATGGGAAGAACGCATTGAGTTCCTTGGATTGGGAAAATGGAGCACCGCGGTGTAAAAAAGGTGGCTTCTAGCACCGGTTTGACCTCATCGCCGATGTATGACGTCGCATTCTTGAGTCTCCAGTAAGCTATATCGTCATCTAGGGGCTTCAGTAATCAGATCCCGTAAAGATTAACCTCTATGGCGTAATCTCACAGAGCTGATAGGTTCCGTGTGTTTTGTGCGTCAAAGAAGCAATAGACTTGAGACGTCTCTTTGAGTAACCTTATTGGTTTGATATTGAGTGTGAGCATGGAACGCTCTGTCGTATGTTTCTTTTTCATGATGAGCGACAGAGAATGACGTTGGGTCTGGAAGTGATTTGGAAGGTTGGATCTGGTTCTGGTCGAGGTACAGCTGGAGGAGGGTTGTCCGCCGTGGTCCCCTGTTGTAAGGCTCCAAGTCTACTCGGGCACGTTTTTAGATAGCGATTTTTCTATTGTCGAGAGAAGTGGCTCACGATTAGAGCCGTCGACACAGAGTTTCGCAGAGTGTTTGGTGCTATATAACGATATATTTCAACGGAATTCCTTGTTTGTTTCTGGGATGGCTCATTCGTATGACGGTCGTTCTCCCCTATCTTCTCCTTCACGGAGGGAACCACAGAAAACAGGTTGCGTGGGACATGAAAGGATTCCCTCAGACCTTCGTGTCGAGCCGTTCCAGCCGCCAGCAGTGGGTCAGTTCCAACACCCGGTGATGGTGACAGAACCACAAGACGAGGAGAGCTGGGCCATACGGCAAGCCTCGCGACTGCGGTTGGCCGAGCAAAGGCGGCATGAGCGGGAGGTGACGAGGCAGCGCAAGCGGGAGGCGACGAGGCAACGCAAGCGGGAGGCGACGAGGCAACGCGAGCTAGAGATCACCCGGCAGCGGCGAGAGACGATCAGATCGATGGACGAGGAGGAGCGCCACCGTCAGCAGACGGAGACGATGCGGCAGCAGGAAGAATACCGCCGCCGTCAACACGAGGAGAGGTGTCTGCGTCAAGAAGAACATCGGCGTCTCCGGGAAGAGGAGAAAAGACGACGGCTGGAAGAGGAACGAGCACGGCATCCGGTAGCCGAAGAAATGAGACAGTGGCTGGAGAGACGCCGGCGTGCTGGCGAGGAGGAGGCGCGACGCCAAAAAGAGCTCGAAGAGCATTCGGGCCAGGTTCGCCAAAGGGCTCGAAGGGCGAGGCAGGAAGCAGATTCGTTAACCCCAGAGTACGGGACAGTGTTCCTTTATACGTTAAGTCTGCTGGAGTTACTGACAACGTATGATCAGGAGACGACGTCGGCCACGGCAAGAGGGGTCATCCACGGACAGAAGGGCTGGGCAGGCAGAGGATACTGGCCTGGAATCTGCGGAGATGATTGCGCAGCAAAGGGAAGCACTAGACCGACTGGTCCAGGCAGCGGAGCAGTCCTTCCAAGAGAAACAGGCAGCCTCAGTTCGCCGTGACTGGTGCAACCCTATTCCATCAGAACGTAAAGTCGACACCGTGCAGTCGTTCTTGAAAGCGTTTCATGACGAGAGCACCATGGAAATAGCAACGTGCTCCGTCTGCTACATGAAGAAGAAGCCACGGGACCTTGACCATGTCAACTGGAAAGAGGCGATCCCTGTGGAGATCCAGCCAGTCATGACGAGTCTTCTGGCGTGTAAGAGGTGTTTTCCGGAGGAAGATGGCGAGAATGTCGTGCCGGTCTGCTTTATCTGTCGAGCCGCTTTCGACCGACGTCGGGTCCCGGAGTCATGTATGGGTAGCACGATGGGTACCGGCTGCGAGCATCGATACCCAACGGAATTGCGAGACCTCAGTCCTTTGGAGGAAAAGCTCATCTCACTCAATGCGGCTTACGGGTTCATTACCAAGTTCAACGTGCAACGTGGCCAGAAGACAGGCTCGACGTATCGGAAACACGTCGTGGGCCATATCTCGGTCTTCCCCAACGACGTGGAGTCTTTGGCGGTCAACATCTTACCGCATCCACTCGTATCAGCCTTGGACCAGGTGCATGTAATTTGGACCGGTCTAGAGCGGCCAAAGCCACTGGATGTGAGCAAGCTGCTGACCGTCCGACCGAGTGCTCTTCGCACGGCATTGCAGTGGTTGCGGCTGAATAATCCTCTTTACGCGGACATTGTGATTAACGAGAAAGAGATGGATAGTTGGTTCTTTGAGGGCGGCAGCCAGGTGCCGTCTTTGGCGTACCAACGGATGGTGAGAGAGCAAGAGACTGCAGAGGAGAGCATCCGGACAGCGCAGATCGTGCCGCCGACCGATCGAGGACAGGATCTCCCGGTCGAGCCACCGACCGTTGAGGATATTGCGACGGAATTAGCAGATAGATCTAAGCGCAGTCCTGTTCCGGCCGAGCCAACGCCCAGCGCACCCACCGCCAGTTCGGAGGAGGTGATGGCTGAAGAAATGGAGGAGCGGGTGTTTGAGCTACGCACTTCGGCCATGTTTTCGATTGACGACCAGGCCGCTTTCGCAGAGCAGGAAAAGCTAGAATTCATCAGTCTGGCGCTACAAGCAGAGCGCGAGTCTGACGACCGCCATGAGGCTAGGGCCGGCGACGCACCGTCCATGCAGGTTCATGGTTCCTCGGAACGGCCGTTCGTTCGGGTGTCGCGCGGTAGTGAGTTCGCTGACGCCTTCTCACCCGATTATTTTCCCAAGACGTTCCCTTGTTGCTTCCCATTTGGGCGTGGGGGACCACGGGTAGCGGACCGTAACGAAGAGGGAGGCTCAGCGAATCCGCTGTTGCGGGATATGACGTTGGAAACATGGGCCAAAGTTTTCCTGCAGCGCCACGGTGGGCATTTTGCCCAGCACCCCGTGTTTGGTTTTCTCATATTCAATGTTCTTGCAAGGTCCCGGAACCGGTGGATTGCCAACGGGCGCTTCCAGCGATCCGCATTTCGACGCATAGAGGGCATCCATCGGAGGCTGACGCCGGAGCGGTTGCGAAGCGCGCAAAAGGAGATGTCCGAGACGGGAAAGACGACAGATGAGGACGTTCTGGCGCTCATGAAGGAGCTCTCTCTGTACGGTGGGCGGCACCCACTATCCAACGAGAGCCGAATGGCGATGCGCAAGAAAATCCGGTCCATGATCGTGGCCTT